ATGAATTTTTGAGAAATTTTCACCAGAAGCAGATCACCCCAAAAATGCCGAAAAAGTCCCTATCCAAAAAAGTAGCCATTTTGAAAAACCATCCCTTGGCAAAATGGCTCAAATAGTGCCACTTTCAAACCCGATTGCATCCAAATTGCTCAGAATTGGAAGCCCCGAGTCCGGCCCAGAGGTCCAGTCTCATATTTCTTCAATTCCTCAGTTCCATGGCTCTCAGGACCCTCTAATATAGAATAGTTTGAGTGTATAACTTTTATCAATGAGCTCAGGGGACATATTTCTAGCCTAAATAAGAGGGTGCACCTGTAATGTCTTGAGCAGCTTGTTTTCCTACATGTAGCTTGGACAGGGTCCCATACACAGGGTCAATTGACACCCTGTGCACAAACTTTAGGACTGGCCTGAAAAGCTCTACATGCTCTAAGTGTTTTCTAAGTAGGTCTAAATATTTCTACCCCAGACCTGTAGCCTTTTAGTGTAGGGTTCATCGTCCGTGGGAACGCATGAACCCCCAGTTCTGGTGGTCACGTTGGTAGAATGTTCCAATAGTTCCTTGCTAAATTTGATGGCTAGGCCTAATAAACTACTGCAAGGTAAAATTAGTGATGTCAGCATGTGGAACTCTGACTGAAACAGATACTATATACGTGTAGCGGGTACTGGGCATAGTTATTTGGGTACTGATAGTAGTATGACCTTCACAGGGTAGGCCTACCCCCAGAACTGTGGGCTCCGCTCCCACAAATGGTCGTGTCCGCAAAAATGAACGTTCGTGGGAGCGGAGTGGACGTGGGACCCCACAGTTCTGGGGGTATTCACAGGGCTAGTCATGCTAGTAGGAGTGGATCCATGAACATTTTATTTTTGCTAACAAGTGGAAACTCTGATGAAAAATGATACATGACATACATTGTTTAGAATGATATTGTTGCGCTGCAGTTGTTTTTTAAAATTATTTTCTCAGTTTTTTCCTTCTTCTTTTTTGTTCAGAGCAGAGGGGGGCTTTCAACCCTGTGTCTGGCTAGTTTAAATTTTGTTTGTAGGAGGATTTTTGCAAGGAAAGGAGATTCATTACTAAGGGAATGATAAGAGTCCCTGTAACTCTCTAAAACTTGTAAGTCTTTAGATCGAGAATATGCAACTAAAAATTGATTCACTCCAAAATTACAATAGCCCATTCTTGTCTTCAGAACTCACCTTATAATGTAGGTGATC